TTCTGAGTTTTAGTTATAAGATAACGAATTCAAGAAAAAAAACACGTCTCTTTAGAGGGCTAGCATTGAAATACTTTGACAAGACATAAAATTTGTACATACAGATTAAAAAACGAGCAACAAAATTTGTTTTGTTTTATTTTTATGATTGAAAGATTTACTAGATTGAATCTAATTTTATCAAACGCATCTATCGAAACATTAAAATTAAGTAGAGACTGGTAATAGATGAAGGAATATCAATAGGAATGTCTATGACAATTCATCAATGATTTTTTTACTTTCTTAAAAATATAACATTCAAGAATATAGAATTTAAGTTTTTATAATCTAATTAGAAAATCACATTGGAATTCTTCTTACGAGTGTCTCTTGAATATTGTAAAGGTATCTCAAAGTTCTGATCTTTCTTTATAAATTGACGTTAAAGCTCACATTTTTTTGCAAAAAAAACAGAATATACTTGTAACGTCTAAATCGAAATATCATTATCTAAGTATTTTAATATGATTCGACAGAGTGTGGCAAGCTCTGTACGTATATAAATATAACAAAGAAAAAAACAAGAAATTCGGATTCTTTTTCCAATACAAAATATGTAGGATATTAGAAAGATTAAAAATCTCACATATCTTATATGAAAGTATATGCTTGTCTTTTAATAATTTTAGCTAATTGACTTTTCTGTGTGTTCACGAAACTCGAAAGAGTTATTTTCAGTTTTACTATGTGACACTGCATTTCGAAACATAAGTCGACAGTCGATCAGCTAAAATATTTAATGTCAAGCATACTCTTTCATGTAAAATATGTGAGATTTTTAATCTTTCTGGTTTCTTTCAACTCTTGGAATCGGATCACTTTTTGTTGACCCGGTCCGACTCAGAGTGGCACTAATATAACTATGTTTCTTGTAGAAAAAATCGATTTTTACAAGACAGAACTCAACATTCACTGAAGTTAGGATAGCTATTCGTTGTTATTTTACTTTATCTTTAAATTTCTGAAATTTTAAATTAAGAATAGATTTAAATTTGGAAAAGTTAAATTAATTTTAAATTAATTTATATATTTCAACAAATTAAATTTAAAACAAATTTAAACTCTTAGATCTGATAGAGTTAAATGTATTTTTGGACTTATTTAATTCTCGTAAAAGTAAATTAATCACCTCTAAGTTGAAGTGTGGGTGTAGGTTTGAAGAAAATACTACAAGCACACTCACATCCATACCTAATTAGAATAATCAAAAAACATCAAATCAAAACTCAGCTGATATTTATCGATATCAAGTGTAGTCTGTGACAATCTAGGTGCGTAATAATAATTTGGCTATGTTTTGAATTGCAATCGCATGAAACTAAAGGGAATGCAGCATACAAACAAACTCTTATCAATTCGTGACATGTCACCAGTGAGACTTACATACTTTATGTTAAAAAAGCGAGATCAATGAATTTAACAACTCTACGCTTATTTTGTGTTTCCTTGTAGAATATTACGAAATCTGAATGCTCGGTGTAGTATTTCTGAAATTCAGTAATAGAGTTGCAATCGTTTCATACAAGATTACTTTAAAAGAAAAGTGACGTATACCGATAATAGTATCCATCTAAAGTTCACTAGCTAAAAAGAAAGTTTTGCTGAGAAAAAGAAAAGTTAAGTATACCATCAGTGTGAGTAAAAAGGTAGCTTTTTTCATTCTTTTGATTATGACTGTAGTTTTTCTTCGTTGAACCTCTAAACTACGATCTAGAAAAACTAGTGGAAAAAATTAAAGCTTTCAGATAAATAAATTTTTGGCCTACATCCTAATAATCTGAACATCGTTTGAAATGTTTTTTTTCTGAAGAGAAGGAAAGTTGTTCGCTAACTACTATGCATGAAATGATTGTATTGTATGTAGTTCGATCAATTTTCTTGAGTTACTTCAGAACATTAATAAGAATGGCTTGAAGAGTCATGGTTATTGTTCGAAGACCTCCTGTAAGATCTAGATATATTTGGGCTGATTGTAATGATAGATGAAACATGAGAAAAAATTTTGAAAAAATCTGAATAACTTTCATATTAGGATATCAAAGAGGTTCTCATTTCATTTATAGAATCGTTTAGAAAATCACAGTCAAAAAAAAGATAGTTTTATTTTCATTTAGTTTTTGATTGTCTCTCCAATGGATTCCGTAGAAAAATATGAGTTACATAAATATTATTATTTACAGGCTAGTTCTCAATTACTTGATTTTCATTCTACTTAATTTTTGTTACAAAATTTTTAAAGGCACCAAATAGTTTATAGTGCGGAGTACATGTACAGATATTTGAATCTTGAAAAAGTAAGTTTTCGATTTTTCAGGTAATTTACACTTGGCTGTCTACTCCAAACAGTTTTGAAGGCAATGGCCTTCTTCATTTATTCGTATAAAAACCAAAATAAAAAATAATTGTTGAATATATCAAATTTATAGAAATAAAATCGTGCCATTTATTATATGGAATCATTTATATTTCTCTCTTAGGAAAATATGTTAGGCTTTAAGAAGAATCTCTTATCAACTTGGATAATAAGAGAATTTTTCTGTTGCGTTGCATTCATTTATTGCAACAACCAATTTGAACACAACTAATGTACTGTTATTTGACAAGCACGAAACCTGTAAATGCTTTCGTTTATAAAGCTGAAAATTCTCGTTGATTCGATACACTCATGTTTAGGTTTATATTTATGCGTTTAAAATTAATTTAAGTATTATACAGAAACTCTTCCTGGCAATTAAGAAAAAATGAATTTTGTAACTGGCCGTTTTTGTTATTTACTTCACAAAGTCAGAGTGATCAAGAAGGTGAAGTATTGTCAGAAGATATAATGATTTGTTCAAAAATTTATTTCTACCTTGCTAATAAACGAGAAATGAACCAGAAAGTCATAGAAAAAATCTATTTTTTTTAATAAATCTGAATGTGGTTGGAACCGAGGAAAAGATTACTGCTTATTCACTTTTACCAGAACCCACATTCATATACATACCCACGTCAATCTTTAAGGATTTCTATAAAATCTCAATATAAAATCATTTGTATTATAGATTTTCTACAAAGAAAGAAATAACATATCGCTCAAACATTTTTTTTACAAAGCACTTCTGACTTGAGTTTGGCTTTCTTTTAAAAATTGGTATTTTGTTCAGAAGCATTCAAATTGCATGGAATAGCAGGTAAATGTGATACAACCAGACTCGCTTTTGAAGATATTTATTCTTGAAATATTTCATCATTTTACGAATGTTAGTTATGAATAACTATAATGTCTATTGAATTTCTAATGAGAATATTGGAAAGCTTGACTCGAAAATATAATAATTTGAAAATTTTCAATCAGATATTCAATGGAATCAATTTTTTTTATCGTACTTGCTCTTCCGCATAGAATGCCAATTTACACGTATACTTCTATGACTTACGGAAAACATATCTTTGTTACAATGATTTCTAAACTTGATCTAAAAGTTAGAGTAATATTAACTAATCGATGTGAAACACGCATATGTATGGCGCATAATGCACGTTCATTTCACTATTCTGATCCTACCCTTCTTACTTTTGTATCAAATCTTCAAGTTTTTACTGCTTCGAAGAAACTAATGTTTGTGTACAACAAATTTGAAGTTACAATTCAAGATTAATCATTAGATTTTTCTATTGTTTAAATTAGATGTTTTTCATTTATAGCTTGAACAGATAAGTTTTGAAGCATGAAGGACACAATAGGTTCACATAATTTCTCCTAAAATGAGTATCGATTGTTATTATGAGTACTTAGGTTTCAAATCATATCTCTTTAAATATTTAGATTTAGCTGATAACGGACGCAATCTTAATTGAAAATATCGAAAACTGTTGAAATACTCTTTATCGATATGTTTTATTTGATAACTGCTAATAAGAATTAATGAATAGAGTCAACTCCACTTTCAAAAATCAATATAACATCATAAAGATAAAAAATGATGTCATTTTCAGAAATACATTACTTCAAACTTAAATTTTGATGTTTAAATAAAATAAAACTACCTTTGAAATATGAAACCAGTTAAAGCTTCTTTTCTCTAAATCTAGTAAACATGTATATATATATATATATACTGAATATAGACATTAGATTGAAATGAACTTTAAATCTGAGTTGAACATCAAATGAATATTTATATAATGAATTCGAACATCAGTTGACATACTGAGCTATGACGAGTCATGAGCGATAACTTGAAAACACGATGTTACGACAATACATAACCATAACATTACAGTAATGCATATAGAAAACTTCGTTCAATCTTATTTCGAGTACTTTTTGATTTAAGTCGTACGTAAAAGTAAATAAGTGCTTGTAAACATATTTTTTATTTAATTTTGAATTGATTTTTTTTTGACAAAAAAATTGTTTATAGAAGAGTGTGTAATTATTTTCTGATAGACTCATGATCACCAAAATAGGTCTTCAAAAATACAAGTCAACTTTTTTTCTATGTCCGCAGTTTATTTTTGTCTTACAAAGTTAGGATATTTCAACAAGAGAGTACTCTAACGCTAATAATGGTTTTTCTTTAAACTGAGGCTTGTAGCTCCATAGTTTAGTTTTATCTGTATAATCATATAATTCACATTAATTGAACAGAAGACGAATGAAATTGTCTTATTATAAGGCTGAGCATTATATAAGTAACAAATAAACTCTTGTCGAAAATTCAATATTTAAATCTACTACTGGCGTTTCTTTTAAAATAAAAAATCAATAATGAAAGTACATTGTGTACAACTGCGAAAATATTTTAAAAACAAGGATAATACTAAAAAAACAAGAATGTTAAACATTCAATAGATGAGGTGAGAGATTTATTGGTTTTTCTCAATTGTAAACTATTATTTCGAGAGTATCAATAACGAGGATATAATTTTCATTATGTGTATACACTGCCATATTAAAAAGATCTATTGTCATATTATGAATCTTCGCACTGAACACTAGAATTATCATTTACAAAACCTAGTAGAATTGTTCTACAACTTGTATAAGATTGAATAGTTTCAATATATTTATCGTCTAGGAAAACATTTTTTTAAAATAAAAACAATTGTCGAGTGATTCTATACGACGATTAAGATAAATTTAGTATTTTTCTGTGAAACAGGATTTATTGTTGTCAATTAAAAATCTTTTATAGCAAATATCATAGTTTCTATTGTAATTTTAGGCATGATCTGATAGCTTCGAGAACAAATAAATAGTTGAATAATTGATTCTAGTTTGGACAGAAACATTACATATCTATTTTATATAAGATATTTTTAACCGAAAATAGTTCCTGCACAAAAGACTTTTAAATAGTAAATCGACATAAACTAAAATCTTATCAACAATATCATCTTTCCATGTTTTTCCAACAGAACAAAGTCGTTTACTATTCTTCTCCTTCCACCACTGATTTACCAGAGGAAGGAGGACAGGGAAAAACTCTCTATTGACGTTTTATCCAAATTAATCCTTGAAAAAATGATTTTGAATATCTGTATCAATCCCTCAGAGCAAATCTCATTTGTAAATAACTTCATCACGTAGTGCAGTCATATGTAACTTAAGTATTGTATTAGAATTGCGGAATTAAATGTGAAAATGTTTTTAACATCGACGAGTGAGATATTGACAAGTCAAAAAGAACCGAGTCCTCGTTACTTTAATCGATTATAATGCATTTTTTAGAAGAGTTAGCTTTATGCAATCCATTTTAGAAAAGTCATATGTAGATTAACCGATCGAATTGAAAATCAACTATGGTGATTTTTATGAGTTAGGAAATTTTATCGACCCATACCAACATTTTGTTTAAAGAATTCTGTTGATTGTTAATTTAATTATTTATGTAATTCACTATCTCATCAACTGTACTGATAGCTTTAATGTATTCTCTCTGTTGTTTAACTAAAGTGACGTCTAGTTCTTCTACTATTATAGTTTTAAATACATCGATTGTTGAAAACATATGATCCTCAGAATTTTCATGAAGTTTCGTTGTCACGTTCGAACATATATTTTCTAATATTTCCGTTCTTTCAATCATTGCAAAAGAACACAGAATTTTGATGCGTACATATACAAGATGAACAAAAAAATAATTTTATTTAGAAATATGCTGATCTGGTTCATTAGAAGCTTTATAGCAACCTATCTTCGCTAGTGTTTGTTTTTTAAATTTTCGTTGAGTTCGATCAGCTTACATAAAGTAATATTATTACTAGTTAAGAAGTTTGAACCGAACGATAGTCTTAATTATCAATATATTCTGCATAATATGGCGTGGGTGTGGGTGTGTGGGTGTAAGGTGTGGGGTGTGGGTGTTGGAGCTTTTAACTCATACTAACCGCCAACACCCACACCCACTCCTCACATATTCACTGTATTATAGACTTTATCTAAAAGACTGTTAGAATTATAGACGAGACATTTTACTATATATTCATACAATAAATCTTTTGATATTAAGTATTTTATAAAAGTTTAAACATCGTGTTACGAACTTTTGGTCAGGCCTAGTACTATTTGTTATGCAGTCTTGTTATAACGAAGAAAGCTCAATGACAATGACGTAAGCTTATATTTCCGATTGATTCCGAGTATCAAAGCAAAATAATCGAAAGTTAAGTTAATTCTGTAAAAAGAGCCTCTTAATCTAGTTAGCATAACAAGTATATATCATTTTCAAACCAAATAGCTAATCATGCAGTTAAACTTAGCTTTATGTTAGTTAATTACTGTTGACACTCATAAGTGATCTTGCAATAATCAAAAATTGATTCTATTAGGATTCATATTATATCTATGAAGCTGTATTATAGGCGATTTTAAAATTCATTTAACACTGGTATAAAATTTTTGAAATTTTTTTATAAAAGATATCAACAACAGATAGAATTTGAAAACTTTTTATAAAAGAGTATTTTATTCATTTTTCTATAACAGGTATAAATTTTCGTTCTTAACTTTCTTAATGACATGGAAATAATAAAGAATTGGTTCAATTTGATTAAAGAACGATTTTTCTTTTGTTGTACAACCTATAGCAGTTATCGCATTTACTTTACACATGCACACAGGCAGCGTCACTTTTTCGTAGAGTGTGACAAGGATTTAAAAACTCTTGATCTATTTCTTGTATTTCATTCAATACTAGTAGTGAAGATTTTAGAGAATTTGATTACCTTGAAAACTATGGACATATTGCTTATACGCTAATCTATTGTAGTTGGTGTTGACGAAGTCAATTGATTTCAACTCTTACCTCTTCTCGTTTCTTCATTTGTTTCTTTAAGCATTATATTCCAACGTGTTTGTTCCGAAAAGACCAGTTGAATCAAAGTTCCATCACTATACAATGATTGTAGCTGTGCCATATCATCTTCAGTCATTTGACTATTGTAAAATTCCAAATGAGTTAGTGTATTACGTTCTTTGGCAGCATGAACAAGTGCTTCGACGAGTTTGTGTGAAACAATTGATCCAGAAATACAAAGACGTGAGATGAATGCGTCATTTTTTAGTGATTTTATCAATTGGATTTCTTTCTGAGTCGATGCTTCTATATCTTGAACATGCAGACTGAGATACCTGATTGAATTATGACTCTTCAATATCTCTAGAAGATTTATCAAGAAAGTTTCGTCTTCGAAACCATTTGGATCCATTAGATCGATTTCAATAAGCGTTCTATTATTTTTCAACATTGCACAAAAATGAGAAGATGGTAAAGGTGTGTGCAAAGAATGAGCGAATTTTAATTGACGTAGTGCGTTTGTTCTCAATGTAAATATAACAGTAAGAAGAGCGATATTGTTGCAATGCTCTATAAGTAATGCTGCCATAATTTTATTCGCCTCAAGACATCGTTGAAAATCATTTTCATGCCAAAGAAATTCAAGGGCAGAAAAATCTAATTTTTTGTGTATCTTGTTTTGCTGCAAGACTCGAGTGAGCATTTGTGCATTTTCATCTTGATACATCTCACAAAAGCGAACTTTCATCCACTGATTATTCAAATGTACGATCATAAATCGACAGATGCACTTCACCCTTCCAAGGAAGTTGCAAATACGAACATTGATCATACTTAGACAATGAATCGAGGAGCGGTTGATTACAATGCTCAGCAATGTGTCGAGATCATCTGTATTGATCGAGCATTCTTGAAATACCAACTTTGTAATATTAAAACCTCTAGGAAGGGCATTACACAGCGTTTTAATATTTTTGCTGGTCAAATTCACTTTACTCAACGCAGCTTCGTTACTTTTGTCATCGAATTTACCTCCCATAGCCAAAAAATCTTTTATATATTTACGCATTTCATTATTGAAACTAATGTTATTATAGTGTTCAAGACATACCCAAAGAACAAATCCATTAACAGCAATTGCTCGATATAAGTTTCCAAGAGTACATTGATTGTCAGCAAGTTCCAGATATGTTTCAAGTTCGCTTAGTTCCACTTCCTGAAGTGGAACTCCTCTTGATTTCTCTACATCAGCCATGGATGCACCGGGACGAGTTCGTTTATTATCAAATTTATTGATTAATGCTTCAACCAAGTGTAATTGCTGTCTTATAGTTTCCTTCTCTTCGGGAGTGTTAAATTCCGATGGCAATGCACTACCATTTTTTGAAAGGACAAAGCGTCCACTTGAAAGCATAATTCGAACGATATTTAGAGTTGTTCTTAAATATGGTGCATATTGCACAACAAAATCTCTTGGCATTCTAATCAAATAACCTTCATGAGGTGCGACATGCATTTGATTTGGTTCATGTGAGCATTCACATAGAAAGTAGAGTTTATAATGAATACGAAACCAATTTTGTTCATTACTGATGAACATCTTATCGCATTTTCTTGTCGGTAAAATGAAAAAGTAGCGAGGTATAGTAAAATTTTGTAATTGAGACATTTCCGTCATTATTTCTGTAACCTGATTTATCACTTCTTTCGTATTGACGTTGACCGAATGGGTTTTGTCTCCGATTGGATCTATAAATATATACAAATTATAATTATGAATACAATTTTCCATAGATTCAAGAACTTCTGAAACTAGGTTGGTGAAGTATGCTGCATTTTGTAATTTGAGGATGATATTTCTAATTAATTTCTCAACAAGACTGATTTTTATTTCATCGATTTAACGAGATGATGTTCGAAAGTATTTTTAAAAATACATCGCTCGAGCTATTGATTTATTGGATATCAATATTCCTAGAGAGAACACCCAAACTTTATCAAACCGAGAAAAAGAAGAAGCACAAAGAGTCCGAACATAACACTTAATGAATGTCATGTTATATTGACATTAATCATTTAAAAATTGAAGAACCTGAAACTATATAAATGTATTAAATACATCAATAAACGAAAATGAGATGGATAATGTATTTAGGACCATTCTAGTTAATGAACTATACCTTTAAATAGTCACGCCTTAGAAAACTTTCAAATAAATGTTAATAATTCTGAAATTTTTAGTCTTCATTATTGTATTCAATGAAAGAAAATAAAGAATACTCGAATGAGTTCCGCATGATTTACTAATAGTGAGGAAAAGCCTTACCGAGCTCAATATTCCTATTATTATATGGATTAAATAGTAGAGAAGATGACGATAAACGGTTCTATCAATTCTTTTTTTTTAACCGTCAGCTTTTTCAGTCACTTAATATGACTCCGTATAAAGACAAGGGCAGTACTAATTTCGACTTTATACAATAAAATATCAACGATTAATTACGAAATATATCGAAAATAGTCTACTTTGATAAACTGACTTACTAATATTCGTGCTCAATTCTGATGGATGTTCATTCTTGAATTTGAGAGCCTTTTTACGCCATTGAACACTTTTGTCATAGTCTTTTGCTTGGGCTGCGAGTTTGGCAAGGTCTTCATATAGATCACCGCGTAAATGGACATCTGGTGGAAGTTGGTCCAACAAACGAATAAAGTATTTTTCAGCCATATCTAATTGCCCCATATCCCACAATAGTTTTCCTAGCATTTGAAGGCTTGTATCTCCATTACCTAGCTGCTGTGTCATATACATGAGAACTTCTTGTAAATCGTGTTCATTTTCACTACAAAGAGTCATTTCAATGATCCATATTTGATCTTTAGCACTGCGATTGACACTGTTTAAGCGAAAGATTGAACCGATCATAAAGAGTATTTCTGATTCGCCCGGAAATTCACTGAGTGTCCTGATGTCGGCGAATGGTTTTGTTGTAGCTGCTTTCGGATTAGCGACAATATCGAATAGGACTTTTTCTAAATTCTCTGGAGTATTAGGAGCATTAAGAAAAGAACGTGCTCGTTCATCATTAGTACTGGTGGAAAAAAATGAATTTACCGAAATAAACTGACCACAACTATTCTGTAGAGTTTTCAGTTCTTCAATGGATATCACTTGTCCTCGATAAACTCGTAGAGGTTTCTTAGCTTGATGAGTTTTCAATTGATGTTGAATATCAAAGACATATGTACGAAATAAAAATATCATATGGATATTTTCTGTACGTAGAACGGCATTAAGCGCCTTGTAAAAGAATGTATCTCGTGTATACCACCAAACAGCTTGATCAGATGAATACTTTTTTCGAAACTCTTGAATATTGCTCAATTCAAAACGATTATCTTCATATGCTTGTTTCAAAATTTGAATAAGCTCTTTCGTATCTTCTGGAGTAGTTCTAAGTCGTAGAAGACAGTCGATAAGCACTTGGAAATAGACAAATTTCCCATTGACATCGTCTGTCGATTTGCCTGCCGTAAAAATATTGATGGATAATGGTTGTTCAATAACTTTTTGAATTTTATGATCAACTTCGATTCGAGAAATAAGTTTATCGAGTTCAGTAACAACATCTTTGACCTATAAAAACAAAAATCAAACATAATAAATAAAATTGAAATCATTCATAATAATTTTGTTACCTTTGTATAATTTTTAGACCATTCCCTGTTACCTGCCTCATCCATGCAATACACGTAGATTGATATAACTTGCCGAACATTATGAATTGCTGGAACAATCTTTCGTCCTAATATACCACTGACAATAATAATTAGTCTATCTTTTGCAGATCCTGCGTTGATATACTGTTGACATCGTTCTACATCTTTGAACCGCTTGAGACGGTTAATAATAGAGCGTAATTTCTGTTCTGTATCTCGATCATCACTGGCTTGCACATTATCATCCAGCCAAATAATGCAGAAAATTTCAAGTTGTTGATCATCTGCATTTGTAAGAAGGTCACCATAAGATACAGGAATCGAACTAGCCATCTTGAAATCAAAATTTCTCGGTAGAATATATCTAGAAATCTCAAGATTGTGGGTGTGAGTGTGGGTGGGTGTGTGAGGGAGATGTGAGTGAGTGTGGGGTGTGGGTGGGTGTGTATGTGGGTGTGGGTGTGGGTAGGTGTGGATGTTGGTTCAATCAATGGTCATCCACACTCACACCCACACCGACACTCCACACCCACGTCCACACCCAGCCACCCAGCCACCCTCACTCACACAGCCACACTCACGCCCAACATAGAGTCCGATCCAAAGAGCCCTAAACTGGTGACTCACAAGCTTCCGCTGGACAACGGTAACCGTCAAAAATAAAAACGACTCGATTCTTATCAGTGATCCGTATGCTCGAAGTACAGCAGTGCTACATATCCAGGAAATCGGAGAATCTGGAGAAGTGCATAGAGATGCGGAAGATGCATCTCTTGAAGAGACGCCGCATCTCCCGCAGGAGTCTCACGGGGGAACATTCTGAAGTGATTCGCACCGTTTCGATTCATCTTCTACTGATAGTTAGGGTTCATTATATATATCAAAAAACTAAAAGGGTTCGTGCCCATGTTGCACGGTTCCAGAGTTACGAGTCGGAATATTGTCGTGCCAGATGGTGCCACCTTCTATGCACTATTTTTTTCTTCCCTTCGTATGTTGACTAGGGATTACTTTTTTCCATTACAGCTTATAGTACAAACTTATCTCATCTTGCTACAGCAAAAAACGTTTTAATAAGTATGTTTCAGTTACAATAGGGAAAGAACAAAAGATTAATAAATAGATAGTGGCACCATCTATCATAGTAGTTGTCTCGCCAATTTCTTTGAAATCTTGCAGCATGGGCACGAATCCTTTTAGGTAGTTGATATATACAATGAATCCTAGCTATCAGTATAAGATGAATCGAAACTAAGCGAATCACTTGGAAATGCTCCCTCATCAGGCTAAAAATCGAAAAAATCTTTTGTCCAGAGGATGCTTGAAGATGCATCTCCCTATGGAGAAGTGCGGAAGATGCGGCATCTCCACAGAGAGATGCATCTCCAAGCATCCTCTAGACAAAAGACTTTTTCGGTTTTTAGCCTGGGGCTCCTGCGGGAGATGCAGCATCTCCTGGAGAGACGCCGCATCCCCCGCACTTCTCCACAGGGAGATGCGATATCTCCCACATTGGCATCCCCCAGCACCTCCCGACGAAATTTTTTTTCTACTTTTAGGTTTTAACTCATGCAAGAGATGTCGGGAGATACTGATGGGGGGACGCCGAATCTTTCGCACTTCTCCACAGGCAGATACGGCATCTCCCGCAGTAACATCGCTCACAAGTGTGGGTGCGGGAGAAGGTGTAATGGCCGCGACTATTTGTAGTTAGTCTGGCATCTCCCTGCACTTCTTCAGCTTCTCCGATTTATCGGATATGTGACATGGTTCTTGAAGTAGAGATGAAACGCTCACGCCCATAAGCGTCAGCTACACCACCCTAACCCCCAATGTATACCGCCTAAGATCCCAACGATACATCACCATAATACGGCTTGTGAACCTACGGATACCTCTCTTTAGTTAAAGTTGAGGATCCAGGAGTGCCCTCCTATAGTAGGACTTCAGAACCCAAGGATACCTCTTTATAGTAGGACTTGAGGACTCAAGCGTATCCCTATAATAGAACTTGAGGACCCAAGGGTGCTTTCCTATAATAGGACTTAAGAACCCAAGAGTACCCCTTCTAATAGTACTTGAGGATTCAAGAGTATCCTTATAACAGAACTTGAGGGTCCAAGGGTGCTTCCATATAATAGGGCGTAAGAACCCAAGGGTACCGCTCTATAATAGAACACGAGGACTCAAGAGTACCGCTTTATAATAGAACTTGAGGACCCAAGGATATTCCTATAACAGAACTTGAGGACCCAAGGATACTCTCGTATAGTAGAACTTGAGGATCCAAGGGTACCTTCCTATATTAGGACTTGAGGATCCAAGAGTGCCTCTGGTATAGAGCTGAAGGATCCAAGTGCATCGTCCTATAGGGAGACTTGGAGGTCCAGCGGTACCCCTATAATAGAACTTGAGGACCCAAGGACACCTTCCTATAGTAGGACTTGAGGACCCTAGGGTACTTCCTGTAATAGAACTTGAGACTTTTGTTTAAGGCTCCAACAGATTCCCAAAGATTCCTAAAGATTCTCAAAGATTCTCAAAGATTCCCAACGATTCTCAAAGAGGGGATGGGTGTGGGTGCGGATGTGCGTGTGGGCGTGGGTATGAGTGGAGTGTGACTGTTGCTGTGGATTTTCTCCGAACCCACACCCATACCCCACACCCCATGTACCACATCCCACACCTCACACCCATACTCACACTCACACCCATGCCCATACCTATACCCATAACCACACATCCCAGACCCACACCCTAATTTCATACTGTCCAAGGCTGTTTGCTCTAACCTAGACACATTGATTGGTGGGCTAAGTGTTTTGACCGGCTGTCTTACGGATACCTATGTGAGTATAAATATGTTGATGTTATTCTCATAGTTTCTGTATCGTTTAAGACTTTTCGCTGATATCCGGGTAAATAACTGAATAATTGCGGCTCCTGTACCGTTACCATCATCAGCGTTTGTGAGAGCAGGAGTTTTTCTCCATGACTCTCAAAGATTCGCATACTTGGTGAAGTTATTAGCATTCGTTCTTACAGATTTCGCTATCGTCCGAAGCTTGATGGAGTCGCTTCGATGAATTTCTCTGTGAACCTGAAGTTTTCACCGCCGCCCTGGCAATTTGATAAAGGGCGCGAAATATTGCATACTGACTTCGAAACACGACATGTGACGCAAAGTTTTTCGATCTGATTTTTACTCATAGTCGTTGAGAAAAAAGTCCGTTCGTCAATTATTTGCGCATTGTCTTGTGGCTTGAAATGATTGGCTCTTTATGTTTCATATTACTGTGAGTGGTTAAGGTGGGTCCTCTAACTTTGTTATATCAGTAAGTGAAGCGAAGCTTCCTGACCTGACTGTAACGGATTTTGCTATGATTGGAAGCTTTTCCACTGTTACTCTAACCAACATTCAAATTTTATCATTATGTTCGTGTCCTCTTTATACGTAGTCTTATTAAAGTTACCAGCGCATTATATTCATTTTTGCCTTCCCAGGTCAAACTCACTCCATCGGATCCGATGGGGATTCGTCGGAAGGTGTTGGATTCTCAGAGTTTCGACAGGATCCTGGCCACTTCCGACACTTTCCGATATCCGACATCTTCCGACAAATTCTCGTCGGACCCGATAATTTTTCCGATAGGATCCGACGGGATCCGACTGTCAGATTGTTCGTCCTGGGTTCTTATGTCTTTAATAACTGAAAATTAATGAATAGAATGGGAGAAAACAAGTAAAATATTCGCAGTTTCTTTCTGCAAAGTGAATAACAGTCAATATAATTTCTTTTGTATGTCGAATCTTCCTAAGAAATTACTTACTAGAATTAAATTAATAAAGTTACCAAGTTCTTCGTAATTTGAATAATGTGTTGCTGTTGATTAGAATATTTTCTGTGTCTCACAGCGTTGACTTTTTTTTTTGAATGATTCGTATCTTACTTTTGCAGCGTGTCAAACCCTTATCTTCCGTTACTGTTTGTGTTTACCTCCTTTATTTTCGTTTTTTAAAACTTCTTATCAAATAAGCACTCTATGAGAAGGACTGCACACAACAACAATAAAACATTCACTGAAAGATAAGACGATGAGTGACAACAAACAAGCAAAAAAAACTCATAGTTATTCAATGATATTCATTTCATATGGAGTGCACAAATCGATATTGATTTCTGTATAATGTGACGTGATTGGAATCGTTCAAAATTAGACAGCGACTATTCTCAAAAAAATCTAGCTTTTACACAGATCTTTTGTGAAGTAAGTCTGCAATATGCTTGTAATATGAGCGACTAGTCGTTTGTCGGCGCCCCTCCGGGACGCCACTCATGGCTCGTCGTTCCTTTTACATCAGTACACTTAAGGGGCCCCCTCCCTCAAAAATCGATCTCATCCTAGGAACATCCAAATGTCATTAAACTTTGAGAATATGTTGGGGCTGTAAAAGGACGTTAGCGGTAAAATTTTCAGCCTCATATCCTGATGTAGAAGTGAGATACGAACCAAACAGTGGTCGAAGAATAGCTTATCATGTCTCCAAAAATTCTCTGTGGATATTCATTCAATATGCTTGATTGTTTTTTTTGTTCGAAAGAGTATGTCCGAATGCAGTGCCTATGAGGGCTCTTTTTTTTACTCTTATCCTTCCCGAGGAAAAAAGGCCTACAAGTTCAATCACTGAAAAACCTCTCAAAAAATGGCGCTCATATTATAAAGTTGCTTATCAATATAATAATAACAAAGCTTTATCAAAAAAAGGGCTCTCATAGGCACTGGCCTTTTTGATGCTCTTTCAAATAAGAAAAAAAAGATTTGATTTTATATCGGGTTATAGTTGACTTTCGGTGAAGATGCGTCGTTCGACCACCATTTTGAGAAAAAACGAAAAAGATTTTTGAATTTTTTGGAAAAACCAGCGGTTTTTCGAATACGGTTGTCAAAAATTTTGAAAATTTTTTGGAAAAAAGGAGGTATCGAAGCAAAGTTTTTATCGTTTATGAAAGAACAAATGATAGACTATCTTTCCATGCATTTATTTCAATCTTGACCATTCTGGCGAAAACTAACTTTTTTGAGGGAAAGAGGGGGTCCTCAAGCGCCCCCCAAAAAAATGTCAATTTTGGTCAGATCCATCAATTTTGTGATTCATAGCTCGTCAGATAGAGCTAAGTGTCTACTTTTGAATGCACTATAGTTTATTGATTCTCTAATGAGTTTTAAGGATATTGCGTAGGTTTTTCTGAACCCTCCCATGGAAGAAAATAAATTTTTTTTAATTTGATTTTTAAAGTCTTGAGGGTCTGGATGCCTTCTCTCACGTTCATA